AGGTAACTGCCTAACGGTTTTATACAGTTCTGTGGTTATATTCTTTGAAGCCTTCTTGACACACATAGAAAATATTGTTGTTCTGCATTATTTCCAAGGAAACAATGCTAATTTTAAAAAGTATGTCTACGAGGTTTGTTAGATTTCTGTTTCTTCCTTTGCCATAGTTCTCAAGTCTTTCCAGGTACAAAGGTTTTTAAACAATCCATAACTGAATCAACTGAAAAAGCCTGTGTACACAGACTTGGGTGACTGCCCATGCTGAGAATGTCTGGGACCGCCCTGGAGGGGCATTTTGAAATTATTTTGGAGGCTCAGTGTTTTTCATGTGCCTGGGATAAGTCACTGACTCTTTCTGCCCCCTGGGGAGAAAGTACATCTTTGCAAAGAGGTCACAAGGAAGGAGCAAGGCATTTTGGAGAGGCAGCATTCTTAACTCCTTCTCGTTATTCTTGTCTTTATGTTTGTATTTGCTGTTTTCCCTAGGAGATTGTTGACTGGTTCAATGCCATTCGGGCAGCACGTTACCATTATCTCAGAACAACCTTCCCAAATGTCCCTGAGCCTGAGGTGAGAATTGAACAGGGCTTGAGGCGGTCTGTGCAAACATAGCATGGGAAAACATTTTCTCACTTCTTCTGCCAGAGTCAGGTGCTCAAACAGCAGCATATGGGTCTTGGGAATGGACAGAAGAGGTAGAAGGAAAGGCCACACTGGATAACATGCAAAAATGTAGTCAACATTTAAGGCCTAAAAGTCTCCATGTGGTCCTTATATAGTGTAATTTTTCAAAAACCTTATGTTCCTTCTTACTTCAGACTTCCCTTTACTGAGCAGCCAAAAAACCCCAGGCCCCAAAAGCCAAAATTGATGGTGATTAGCTTTGACGGAAGCAGAACAGAAAAGCAAGCTTGAATGAGACAGTCTTCTTTTTTTGTGTTTGTGTTCTCCTAGCTCATACCAAGGATCACAAGAAATTATGTCAAAGAAGGATATATGGAGAAAACAGGACCAAAAGTAAGTGCATACTTGGCAGTACACAAACAGGATTATTCCAGATGGAGAATATGTGATAATTCTATGATGTTTACTAGCAAATGATTTGTTCAGTGATTATATGCTTCCTGGGTCGATAAAAGACATTATATTCAAGCCTGTCATATTCTTTGGGATCATGTTTTATTTTGTGTGGAAAATAAGTCTGGGAAGAAGAATCCTCCTTGGAGAGTAAGCAAAATGGATTAGCTGGCAGTGGACGTGCAAAGTTTTGTTACGCAACCCTAGATGGATTGCTGTATCTGCTAACTGCAGCTCTAGAACTGCAGCTCCTGCTAGAACAGAACATCACATGCTGACTTCCCTACTTCCCTGTTTCTCTTAAAGTCAGTAGCACATAAGTCATATCTGCTTATAGCAGCAAAGTATGATTGAGCAAATTCTCCCCAGTGAAGCCTATGGTTTGGTTTGGTTTTTGTGGGAAAGTATTTGGGCCGCTGCTTGGAACAGGAGAGGGAGATTTCAGGCTCTGCTGAAGGAGATAAAGATCTGAGGTCTTGTTTGAATATTACCCCTTCTTGTCTCTCTGTCCTCTGAGTGAACTGTGAACCAAAGTCCCTTTAAAAAGTTCAGTGGTGTAATGCTGATGTTGAATATGCTGGGTTTTTGGCCCAGCACAGTGCTAGTGTCCCAATACATCTTCCTGCAGGTACTTGCATAGAGAATACTCACAGTTACAAGCATGGCAAGACCAGTGTGTTTTTCTCCTGAGACCTAAATTCTGCTCAAACTGAAGCGAGCCCTAGAAGAGGACCCTTCAGTTCAGTGCAGAGCAATGAATAGCTCGGGGAACGGTCAGATGAGTGTAGTTGATGGAATTAACACTTTTTAAAAAAACTACCAGTTGTCCCTACCATTGTGCATCCCACAATGCCAGGGACAACCCCCCAAACCAAAATGCTGAAATTGGTTGCATACTCTCCTCATTATCACCACTGGCCCCGAGATCATTCTCTGCAGTGCTTTCAATTAATCTATTTGCTGCAACTTTCTTAATCCTGGGAATCTGATCACTGGTGGAACCAAACTTCCCTGCCTTACCCAAAGGATTGTCACTGAATGCAAATCTCTAGTGTGAACCCAGGGAGAAGGGAGCTGAGGGCTGCACACAGCAGGGACTCACCCGTTACCAGTGACAGGGATGAATGAAACTGAACTCAAGCTCCGAGTCATTTAAGCAGTCTAGGGATCTGCCTTGAGTAGGCCGAACTCCCCTTGGGGACTTGGTCTTTAAAGAACTTCTACCCTCTCCTTGCAGCAGAAGGAGGCCTTTAAGGTGCGCTGGTTCTGCCTGGATTCTCAAGAAAGGAACCTGATGTACTTTAAAAATCCACTGGTAAGAGGAGTGTTCTGCGCTATTCCACAAGGCCCTTCACGAAGCTGGGTGGGGAAGAAGGGTCTGTTCTCATCCAGCTCTTCCAGTGGCTGCGCAAGGCTGAAGCAGGCTCAGTCTCAAGAGCTCATCTCCCTTGTCAATGGATCTCTTTGAAGCTGAGCTGTTTGGGAACTCTGGCCCTTACAGTGGCTCTCAGGAAGATCTCAGTCTTTTAAAAGTAGCTGCTACTGCCCGTAGCGTTTAAAGCCCACTCTCTCCCAGCCCTGTTGCCATTGTGCCTGTAGCCTTAGGCCAGACGAGCAATATGCCAATAACGGAGGCTTGGCAGCCCCAGTATCCTGCTTCCTAGCACTGCTCTAGCCATGAGAATATCTTTCCTTGCTCCTTCTGAACGCCCACCAACCAGCTCTGTAAGGATGTGTCCCTACCTCCTTCTTCTGAGAATGCCTGTGAGTGTCAAAAACACTCCGGTGTGTGTCCTGCCGCCTGTCACCAAATCGGTGTCCCCTTCACGCATCCCCAGTTCCTGCTCCACATCAAAGGATAGAACAGTGTCTGCTGGAGCTGCGCTGTCCACTGGCTAATGGCTGTTTACTGCTTCCTTCTTTCTAGGATGCATTTGCACAGGGCCAGGTTTTTATTGGAAGGATGGATGAGGGATATGAAGTACGAGCTGGCTTGCCCCAGGGAGTCCGGGTGAAGAAGAGGAAACCAGCGATCACTGTGGTCACGCCAACGAGAGAGTTTGTGTTTATATGTGAGAATGATAGGGAGCAGAGGGAGTGGATAGATGCCTTAAATGGAGTCATTGCCCAGCCTTTGACTGGTTAAGACTAGCACTGGGTTCTGGTGAACTGCACTTCTTGGGCTCTGTTCAGCACTGCTCTGCAGCCACGTTCTGTTGGCCAGGATGGTGCTCAAGGCCCTGCAGTGACTCTCGTACACAGGGCTTCTTCCTTCAACAGCCACAGGTGCAGGAAGGGTGCCAACAGAGAAATGAGTAAGAAGGAGTGCAGATACTCAGAAATTATCTGTGCCCCTGCAGAGCCTTGCTTGAAGTGCCTTCTCTCTTCCTACCCTTCTCTGCTTTTGAGCAGAGGAGGCCTTCCTAGCCTGACGGAGGGATGAATCGTCCAGTGTTGTCTTTTGGAAAAAAAACAAAGTCAGTGCAGAAAGTCTGCCCCCAGAAGGGCTGACATGCATTTCCTTGAGGACTACTGCCGGTGCTGTTACATCAGCTCCTCCTTTTCTTGCCTTGGTCTGATGTCAGAAGGACTCCTGTGCATCCTGAAGGATGTACCTGACAATCCCGGCAGTGGCATATATCCTGCCAGTGAGTGGGGTCATCTGTTGCATGAGTACATAGGGACAGTGACCGAGAGGCAAAGATATCGTCTCCTGTCAGGAAGATGCAGGGTGTCCTGTTGGATCCATCTAAGATACCAATTCATGCTGGAGTCACAAGATGTCCTGCTCAGGGAGAAGCAGAGTCAGGCAGCTACACTCCACCTGGCTGCAGCTCCTGTCCAGATAGGGACATGGTTGCTTTCAACAGAGTGGGTTTAATGTCTTTTAGTATGTTAAATTTCTAGCACAGTAAAAATAAAAGCAAAGTTCGAATTGTGGAGGATAGTGTAATGGAATCACTCTAATGACAAATACTGATAGCTCCTTGCTTTCAACAGTCTCTTTGACTTTTTTATGAGTGGCGAATCCAACATGTGACGACCAAATTTTTCCAAAGCAACCCCACATAGTGCCCCAGCAAACACATCATGAGTACAGGATGAGCGTACACTGATCTGTCTCACCTCCTAAAAAACAGCTGAAGCTTAATGAGCTTGATTAGTCTGAGCATGGAAAGGCAGAAACTTGTTTTAAAGTGTTATCTTCAGTGACTTGCTTGAAGACATTCAGTGACCGAGGACCAGTGCTGGAAGTGGAGGCTGAGTGCCTCCCGATCAGGTACCACTCCCAGCCATTCTGTGCGGGAACTGAAGATGTGCATTGGCTGATACAGTGCACTGAGCATTTCAGGACCGAGTCTGAGATTTGGTTCTACCAAGCAGCCAGTGATTCAGATATTTAATTCTTCTTTTCAGATAGCCTTAGTTTGCAAATGAAGAGGAAGTCCTGCAGACTAAGTTTCTGGTGAGGCTTCCACCTTTTGCTGACAATTGCCAACCAGCCTGAGATGCCCGGAATAGTTCTCTTCTGCAGAAATGAGGAAGTGCCAATACTTGCAGGGATTAGTGAGATTAACTCTTCCTCCCCCCCTCTCCCCCCCAATAGGGCAAAAGAACTGTTTGAGTTGGATCATCATTCTGCCTGTCTCAGCCAGCTCATCACCATCCAACTCTGAGCAATCTGCAGCAGTTTTGCTTGCTGATATGCTCCCATAAACTTCCCTGTGTTCCCGCTCTCTCTCCCCATGCAACCAGATTCATTCCAGCTCACGCGCTGGTTGAGCAAATATTTTTAACAACCTAATCCTGCAGCCCTTGAAATCAATAGCGAAGCACCTTCTGACTTGTGCAGGAGCAATGTCAGTCTTCGTTTGGTTTGGCATATGTTAATTGTTATTTTGAGATGAACTGAGTAACCCAGGATGACCTCAGACGAGTTCAGTCCATCCAGGACCCTGAACTTCACACGGATGGGGCTCTGCGAGTCCCACTGCGCTGTGTCGCTTGCTCTCCCGGATGGGTCAGTAGACCAGCCATGTCAGCAAATCCGATACGCTTTGTTACAAAACCGGGAAATTCCCGGTGAAAATGAAATCGTGCAAGTAACAGCAACTTTTGTGGAGAGTCAGTAAAAGTCAAGGCCAGGTCACGGAGAGCTCCGCATCACAGTTCATTTCTACAGTCAGCCCAAAGCCTCGGAGCGAGTCGCCAGCAGAGGAGGGGCCGGGCCGGTACCGGGCTTTCTGGCTGGCGCGGGGAGCTCCCCGGGCGAGCCGCCCCAACAGACCAGCGGGGCGGAGGCCCGGCGCG